TTGATCTCATGGGATCAAATGACCTTGGTAGTCCTGGAGTCTGGTCATGTGACTGTCCTATATAGCAGAGAGCATAAATTGTCAGAACCGTACGTCATAGCATCATCAATGAGAGGTCAAAGATGACTCATGAACGTCTGTGCCTAGGCAATGTGCAGACAGATTATGAGTACCGCTCATTCATACTAATATGCACATGAGGTCAACTAATGGGCACATTCATAGAACTAAGTGTATGCTTTGCCATATCTGTAACTCTGTGAAGCAGATCACGTGCCTCCTTTCCATGATTTGAATACACAGGAGAACAGTCAACTAGTGATGTGAATACTATAGGAATAGGCAGCAACGCATGCATCTACCCAGCATGAACAATACGCCACCAACGTCATCCATCTCATGTCATGAACACTGTGACTCTGTGACTCTGTAGCGCTTACCCAGTGGCGCTGTTTTACTGGATGCATAGACCTTTGTCTTCATCTCCTCCATGCGTTGTTGAACATTGGTCTGCCGGGCTGGATTTGCCAAGTCACCTGTCTGTGAGTGAGTGAGGGAGAGAGAGAGGCAAAGATGGATGGACCATTACAGTCACAATGTTCATCATTATACATGTACATTTTACTTGTGTGCTGACAGGGAGCGCTAGATAAAGGTCATTGCAAGGGAAAGAATCATACTTACCTCTGCTCTTGGCTCTATGACTCTCTGGCTCTGTGACTCACTGGCTCTTCATCTCTCCCGGTATGTCTGTTTAGGAGCTGTGCGCTCTACATCTATGTGATAATATAAAACTTGACTGTATTCCAAAGACAGTTCATGTACCGGTATCAGTGTTTGACAACTTACAAAGAGTGATGGCTTAGTGTCGACGCCATGTCTCATAGTCCTAGCCGTGGTTGGGTCATCATACGCCCTGCCAAAGTGTACTCTCTCCTCACCCACTTCTGGTCGCTTGATAGTCGGTTGGAACTTTCGTACTATTTCTGGTGTGGGCGGCTGCGAGTATAGAATAAGAGAATCAGCGGCCAACATAGCCAATTTCATAATGTTGTTTAGACTTAGATACTGATATGGAGGTGATTTGTTTTCAAGTTGTACCCTTGTTTCAGTATTCATGTGAACACAAGCTCGTCTTCAGCGAGCAGCAGAGCAAATAGCACCCTGACAGAAACCCCCTTAGCTTCTGCAAATCCTCAGCCTGATCATGGCAGATATTCGCATTGCACACATGCTAGCCTTCATTGCACATAGTGCAAAACGTGCAATGTACCTGAAACGCTTGATGTGAGGTTTTGTGTCGGACACCCCATATGCAGAGTTGCACACTCTTGGAGCTTATAATCTTGTTACTTGTAGATAGGGGCCCGGGTTGCTTGGGTGTACAACATACACATAGGTTACATGTCTATACTAAGTCTTAGTGATGATGCCGGTGTGTGTGTGTGTGTGTGTGTGTGTGTGTGTGTGTGTGTGTGTGTGTGTGTGTGTGTGTGTCTGTCTGTGTATGTGCGAGTATCCATGCATGTCGTTTGTGCGTACATATGGAAAAGTGACACATGTGCACACACACACTAACACCAGTACCAGTGTGCCAGTGACCTCATTACCGGCGTGTGGTAATGGCCACACATGAACTACGATCACTTCTATTACTACTGGTCTTACCCTTTCCAGTGTGGTAGCGATACACTCCTTGGTAGTGCTTCTTGGCGGTGAGATTGTTTTGCCAGCCTGCATAGTGTATAGTGCATACAGTCATGTACACATGTACACGTGTGATGATTGTGATGATTGTGATGATTGTGATGATTGTGATGGTGGCGGCATGCATGCATGCACAGTAAGTAGAACCTGTCAAGGAGACCACCTGTACGCAGCGGCCACGTTTTGAAGGTCCCTTGAGCAGTCGCTTTACACAGGTTACACTGTACACTGTCACATGGTATTACAAGTGCATCCTAGTTCCTAGTTCTCAGTATTTGGCATGCATTTGAAGTTGGGCAAACCAGAGACTGGGTGAGGATGTGACTTTGCCATAGTTGAGGATGGAAAGACGGTTCTGGCTTTGTGCAATTCAATCCATTCTTGATCCAAAAGCCGCTAACTTTGTATCAAACAAATCCGGTTCTGGAAATGCAGACCGGTTTCTTTCCTGCTCTGGAACCCCAGTCATGGTCCATTGAGCTTGGCCTTGTAGTGCCTGGCCTGGCTACTGAGAATGGTTCTCAGCAGTGTACAGACCAATGGGGGCTGATATACATGTATTACATGTACATGAAATTATCTGTCAAGGACCCTCAGTGCAACGGTCCACATGTCAGTATGGACCACCGGACTGCACATCTGCATGATGCACTAATAACTAATGTTACTTTGAGTGTCCACTCACCGCACGGATGCTCGGTGCTGTGTCGCGGAACTGGCCGCCATACACTGTCTGAGTGAGGCTCGCCATAGCCTAGCCACCAACTGCACGACCACGATGCCACAGTACAGGTCCACAGTTAGGGTATAGGAGTTCACCGGTGCACTAGCTACTTTCTCAGAGGAAATAATTGTCAGAAACCTTGCACAGAAAGCAGTGATTATAAAGGTCTGGTGAGTGCGCTTCTTGAGCGTTGGTCGTGTGGATGGAGTACGGACACTAAGTAAGTGCAAGAAACTGCTACACAATCGAGAAAACTCACACTCACAGTCACAGTCACACTGTTTTCGAGTTGAAAAATTCCCAAGTGAACAGATCGGAGCTGGTGCATCTCTTCGTTGAGGGAGTCGACTCCCCTATCGGCAGTATCGCCTATGTATGTAGCCCTAGCCTGGTTGAAAATGAATCGCTGAACTACGCACACTTCATCGCGTGCGCGTCGCTCTGTCGAGCATGACGGCGTTGACTGTTTCCAAGCGTATCCAAGGCAGAATGCAATCGGGGGCTGTCCCTGGCAACCGAACCGAAGCGCGGGAACCGTACAAATAATTACGTCATAAGTCGGGAAATTTGAAATCTGGCAAGATCATGATCTCCAAAGCCAAGAATGAGCTGAGCGATGAGTGACGACCATTGATCTTGTTGTGTTGGCAGGGAGTTCGACAAAGTATTCTTTGATGCTGCTAGTACTAGTAGTAGTGTGTCCTGTCCATCAACTCTCTTTACGGAGATCTAAGTGATTAGTGCAAAGTGGCATGCACTGATGCAGAACATCGGTGGAATTAGTTGAGGTCTCGTGTTTGTGCCATGCAGACATGTCGAGCAGTGGTGCTGATAGACCTCCTGAATTCTCCCAAGTAAGTCCTGAAAATACATTGATGATACTGTATCTCAGTCACCAATATCATCAATTCCTGTGTACATGCGAAAATGCACTGAAAAGTGAACAGTAATATCAGTTAGGACTGGGGTATGCAGCAGCACAAGTTCTAGCCTTTCAATATTCTTACGACCTTCACTGATGAGACCTGCATGATCAAAGCAGCTGTATGGTGATATAACTCCAATATCCACAGAATCCAACAGCTTAAATTTACACACACACTTATATTCATGTTGCTGGTGTGGTGAATCAGGTCGACCACTCCGGAGAGCACACGTGGGGGAGTTTGAACTAAACCAGTAATAACTAGGAGTAGATTGTACATGTATTTTTAAATTTTAGATTGCACGCACTAGTACAGGATTACAGTGTCGTTTTACCTCTTGTACAGTACAAGCACATGACTACACGAAGTAGATTACTTGTACATTTAACAGCGCCATGGATAGCTTTCACCCCGCCTGGTACTTCTCATTTGCACGATGTGTACTTGTATCTGAAGCTCCTTTTTGTACTATGCGTAATTGTACAGGCCATGTGTACAGTCTGTATCTGGCAGTTGCACAAACCAAACACAGTACCTGCCTTATTAAGGCATGCATGCTCGTGTCCACCACACATCTAATGCTCGTGTCCACCACACATCTAATGCTCGTGTCCACCACCCACACATCTAATGTTCATCTCTATACATGTACATGATATACTACGGCGATTCGCTGTACTTGCACTATACTTGCACTGTACTTGCACTGTACAGGCGCGTCGGAACGACTTTGGAGGTGGGGCGGCCATGGAAGGGGGGTCCGGGGGTCCTCCCGCGGGAACAAATTTCATAAATTAAAGCCAATTGCAAGCATTTCCGGGCATTTGGTGCCATTTCAGTGTACGGTACCTACAATGAAAGACTTTTTGATTCTGCAAAAAACCAAGAAGATGCTACGATCGGGGACAAACATTACCCTCCCCCGGGAAAAAAATTCAAAAATTGAAGCCAATTGAAAGCATTCCCAGGCATTTGGTGCCATTTCAGTGTACATGGACTTTTGATTCTGCAACAAACCACGATCGGGGACAAGGATTTGCCACGTTTGCGCTGAGATCATCGCGCTTTGTTGCAGTGTGCTAAAAAAAAAAAAAAAACGGCCGAAAAAGTGGGGCGGCCATGGCCGCCCCGGCCGGTGCGGTTCCGACGCCCTGGCTGTATCACGGTGCTGCAGTGTGCATGCATTGTTGTACACTATGCGATGCATAGTTCATTTAAAGACAATCTCTCAATTCCGACACCACTTTATTACTTTTCAGGGATCTTCTGCTACGCACAATAAAGCATTCCATAGAAAGGCACAGCACATATTCCATTCACTGTAATGATGTATGTGTACGGGACTTGTTCTCCCTTTGCGATGTGTATTGTGTGCTGACTGCTGTAGCTGTTACGTGTATTGTGTGTTGACTGCTGTAGCTGTTACGTGAGATAGACACGGTAGTAAGTACTAGTGAACAGCGTCATCGCAGTGAGTTGCAAACTCTACGCCAGAAAGCTGTGGATTCCTCATCACAGGTACTGGACACTGTTACATGTATTGGAGTCCTGTGATCTCTCTCTCTCTCTCTCTCTCTCTCTCTCTCTCTCTCTCTCTCTCTCTCTCTCTCTCTCTCTCTCTCTCTCTCTCTCTCTTTCTCTCTCTCTCTCTCTCTCTCTCTCTCTCTCTCTCTCTCTCTCTCTCTCTCTTTCTCTCTTCCTCTCTCTCTCTCTCTCTCTCTCTCTCTCTCTCTCTCTCTCTCTCTCTCTCTCTCTCTCTCTCTCTCTCTCTCTCTCTCTCTCTCTCTCTCTCTCTCTCTCTCTCTCTCTCTCTCTCTCTCTCTCTCTCTCTCTCTCTCTCTCTCTCTCTCTCTCTCTCTCTCTCTCTCTCTCTCTCTCTCTCTCTCTCTCTCTCTCTCTCTCTCTCTCTCTCTCTCTCTCTCTCTCTCTCTCTCTCTCTCTCTCTCTCTCTCTCTCTCTCTCTCTCTCTCTCTCTCTCTCTCTTTGTCACATGCACACACACACACACACACACACACACACACACACACACACACACACACACACACACACACACACACACACACACACACACACACAAACACACACACACACACACCATTTGGACCATTTGACGCCCATCGCCGGAGGCGATGATAGCGATGCTACAGCAGGAGCCATATCAGCTTGTGCTGGGATTGCACCATTCAACAGCTTGCAAGGCTGAAGAATTGACCGCCATTATTCAGCCTGGTCTACACCACACAGCTATGAAGTGGCTTTTTCTGGCCAGTGAATCCCTACTTTTTGGTCTTTTTTCATTTTTTTCCCGCACACTCATCACACCACATACTCCGGCATGCACTGGCTGTTGGTAACCACCCAGGAGAATGAAAGAAAAGTCAGGAGGAGTCTGAGAAAGAGAAGAAAGACGTGTGTGACTATAATCGTTGGGAATCGAACCCACAACCTATCGATTGGAAATCGCTGCACACACACACACACACACACACACACACACACACACACACACACACACACACACACACACACACACACAATACGCACTCTCATATTCACTGAATGCCTGTTGTTATCTATGTGCTCCTATGGTTGGTTGCCTCAATGTGTTGTCTAATGTCTAGATCAACAGTTTAGAGCGTCGGTTGCAGTCACAGACTCAACACAATGGCACTCTACAGTCAGAAATCCTACAATTACAGCGACAGGTTAGTGCTAATTTATAGAACTTTCTGAAGGGGCTATGTACTCAAAATCGTGATGTTCCTGATATCCTCTGTAGGGCCATTCCAAACACATCGCCGCTTGATGTAATTGCCGCTTGTGTAGTCATCTTGTATCTCTGTGTGACATTTGTGTAAATGTGTATGATCGTTCATTTGTTGGTGTTCCACCGCGCTGCTACGAGTATGAAGTGTTTGTGTTCTATTTCTGTGGTATGAAGCTGCCATAGCAAATGCTCACTTGATAAGTTGGTAATTTCTCTGCTTACACTCACTGGGCACGGTACTCTGTGCTCTTTGCTGCTGTCCTGCACAGCTGCGTCAGTACTCGGGTGTGTCAGAGCAGCTGGAAGATTTGCGTGCACAGTCTGAGCAGCTCAGACAGACCCATGAGCAGTCCAAGGCCAAGCACAAGCGCCACATGCAACGTGCTAAGGATCGACACGCTCAGGTGGGTTTGTCACCAATATCATCTCTAATACAAGCACAGTTTCCAATAAAAGCACACTGCACGCATGCATCGAAAAAATAAAGGCGACTGTCTCCTATAAAGGCACTTGCAACTTAATTTCCGGTATGGACACTGGTATTTATTATTAGAAATATGAAGAAAAAGATCACTACAAAAAGAAAACCGGAACACAGCAAAATGGGCTTGAAATTATAAAAGCACAGTCTCCAATAAAGGCGCGTCTCCAACAACAGCAAGGGTCGGAGGGTGGTTGAAAAAAATAAGAGACGCGTGCTCTTATTAGAGAAAATACTGTATGTTAGGGTTACAAATAGCAGGATGAATGAAAACTCTAGTCTAGGCTATTGCTGATTAGATTGTCTATACAATTTATGTACAGGTGGAATCCTGATAATTCGAATATGGCTTAATTAGAACATACTTACTGCTTAATTAGAAATTTCTTCCGGGACCGATTTCTATCAATACGATTTCCAGATTTCCACATAACTATTTCTGATAATTCGAACCTCAAACTGGGTATGTCCGGTTAATTAGAAGTCCCACGGAATCCACTTTCATAGGAAAAGTGGGATTTGTGCTGATAATTCGAAGTTAGCAAAGCATAATTTTATTAGTTCACTTTATTTTCTGCAAATCAGTTCGGTTTGCATGCGCAGGCAGTTCAGTGTCGACTAAGTCAGGGCTCGCAGCGAAGTTTGGAAGTCTGGAAAAAGTTTGGATTTTATAATTCAATTTTCCAGGTCTGGAAAAAGTTTTGAAAAGGCGCTCCTTTTGAAAAAGTTTGGAAAAAGTTTTGAATTTCGATTTTTTGGCCGCAGATGTGCTGCACTGCTGGCAGTACTGCATGCAAGTGGCGGTTTTGAGTGCCGCGATAGAAGACGCCCTGGCGATGCGTGGTGTTCACTGCATGTACAAGTCTCGTACAGTCATTTCAGTGGCTTTGCGTGCTTCTCTTGCGACGGGCGTATACATGGTACATACATGGTGTGTGCATGTGCGTGTACCCTCATTGTTTTTGATTTGTTCCTTGTAGCTGGAGGCTGAGAATGCATCAAAGACCACTGAGCTGGAATCTGCACGTCAAAACCTCCAGGTCAGTTTGATCTACAGTGTGTACAGTACACAGTCAGATCTGTTGTGATCAACCACCTTTCTTCAGAGGCACCAACCTAGTCAGGCACGCAACCATCTTTCAGCACACAACTGAATCTATCTACAGAGGATCACCTATCTGGAAAACTCTTTTCTGTCCACCATGGGGTAGTTCCTATGGACACATGTTTGACTGTATCTGCAGTTTGACCTCCATTGTAACGTTCGTTGTACATCAAACTCTGGAACTCAATAGCCTTTAATACAGCCAATGGTTCTGTTGACAGCAATAGCTAGCATCACATTGTCAGGAGTCAAGAGTGCGTTCTGCCTGCTCTGTCTTCAGTCTGCTCGAACACAGCTAGCAACAGCCGCGGCGGATGAGCGCAGTTGCAAGGAAGAGCTGAGTTCTGTGCGGCAGAGGACGAACTCATTGGCGGAAAAATGTAGCTTGCTACGGGTTAGTTACTGTGTATTCTTTCTTTCCCTGTTGATCGGATTCTTCTTTTCGTGTCTTGGTAACCGTTTCAACCGGCCATCAAATGCTGAAATTTGAATCTTCCTCGTTTCTTGGTTTGTTCTTGTAGCAACAACTGGAACAGTGTGAGGCAGATCGCACATCCCTTCAGTGCCAAGCTCAGGAGACTAGCCAGAAGTATCAAAATCACATTTCCGAGCTAGAGTCAAAGGTAGGACATCTGACGACAACATGTATTTTCGCTTGTGAGCATACGACAATGCTACGTGTACAGGCAGGTACATTTACACTTGTACTTCAACTCACTCTCTTTTCGTCTCGCTCTCTTTCTCACTCTCTTTCATCTTTCTTTCGTTTTGCATGAAAAAGCACAAGGAGGGGTTCTGATGAGATTTCATTGTGCTCTGTGTTATTCTTGTATTCTTATTGTTGATGTTTTGTGTGTTAGGTTCACACACTTCGCATGACCAGCACTAGTAACCTGGAGCTGTAAGTCTAGCTGTGTGTATGTGTGCGTGTGTGTGTGTGTCTCTCTCTCCCTCCCCCCTCTCTCTCTCTCTCTCTATCTATCTATCTATCTCTCTCTCTCTCTCTCTTTCTCTCTCTCTCTCTCTCTCTCTCTCTTCTCTCTCTCTCTCTCTCTCTCTCTCTCTCTCTCTCTCTCTCTCTCTCTCTCACCTCAATGAATGCGTATTTCGTGTGTATCTCTCTGTCTTCAACGTTCCTTTTTCTTATTTGTCTTTTCTTTTTCTTATTTGTCCCCAGCACGAAGTCATCTTTGGACAAAGCCCAAACACAAGTTCAGCATCTAACAGAGGAAAACCTTTCACTGAGAAGACAAGTTACAAAAACTAATGGCGAACTAGAAGTGAGTTGCATTGCAAGTGGAAGGAGTGCTTCTGCTTTCGTCTTTTCTTTGGGTGGTGGTTTGTAGGGAGCTGTGCTCTCATTTGTTGGGCTATGGAATGGCATGGTGTGGTATATTTTTGCTTCATCAAGTGAACATTCACCGATTCCTTTCGTCCAGGCCTGGTTCCTACAAGAGGTGAAGAAATTTTATGAATAAGTTTCAAAAACAGAGAAGACAAAAAACAAATAATATACTTAAAACATACTTAGGCACAAACAGAGAAGACGAATAGATGAATATTAAATATAGACTAGCGCAGATGTATCGGAGCATTTCACGTTTTGCGTGATTTGTGACAAGGAAAAGCCGAACCGTTGCACGAAGCATAGGTCCTGGACTGACGATTCTATTCCAGGGATGGAGCACAACAGTTTTACTTCGGATTCCGTCATCCCATGAGCAGCATTCCTTGTACATGTGGCTCGGGACATGGCCGAGGCTGTCCGCCTACTACTACTACTACTGCTTAGTACTAACTAGTGCTGAAACCAGGCCGGCCTGATGCCGGACACCTAGTGAAAACACTGTGGAAACACAGAGCATGAAAACCTGCTGGCTACGGACTGTTGATTGCATGGTCGGTATTGTGTTGTATGCTGTGCATGTGTGCTGTGACTATTGATTGTTTCCCATGTACATATGATATAGCTTCTGAACGTTAACTACGCCTGCCTGAAGGATGAACTATCAGCAATCAAGGAGGACTTACTGGTACGTTGTCACGATCAGTGTGTGAAAGAAATTGTTAGTAGCCATAGCAGCCGAAAGCTTGCTGTTTTGTAATTCCCTGTGTGGATTGCCTGCTTATTTCCTCTTCTTGGTACTGATTCACCCTGGTGGCTGATGAATGATCATTGCTATTCCTGCCATGCACTTCTAAGTACATTCTCTATGTACAGTACACTAAGAGTATGCCTCAATTCCAACTTGTATACTATTTAAGCTCTCTTCCATGATCTATATGAGATGTCACCCTTGTTATTGTCAGCCTTGTTGCTGAGCACATCAACGATTGTGTTCTGCTGTTCCAGCATGCACAGCACACTGAAAAACGTGATGCTAGTCGAGTGGCTGAGCTGGAGCACAAGCTATTGCAGAAAGATGATGTCGTCAGGTAGGGACACACACTACTGGTGATGTCACTATTTGTAGCACAATTGTTTGGGTTTGTTACACGTGTTGGTCTGTGATAGTGTTGGTGCTGAAACTCCCCCGGAACTCCACTTTAAATAAAGCCAAACAACAACAACTCCATCCTTGTATTTCTTGCTCTATGCTTTCTTGTGAGTCTAGCACACCACGGCAGTTATATTTCCCAGCACCACCATTTGTCTTGCTTTCTTTCCTTACTGACATGTAGGGCATTTGAGGAAAGCCAGGAACGAAGCTCATCAGCAGAACTTAATCGCTTGCGTCAAGAGGTGGACAATCTCAGTCGTCGATTACAGTACGTTTGCCACTGACTGTAGTACTGTACACAATCATGGTTGTGTTTCTGTATGTACTTTTCTAGTAAGTAGTTTGTTGTTAGGATGTGCTGATGTTAGCATGGCTGTTGTTATTGTTTTGGCGTTCCTAGCACACACTGGTACTACCTGGTTTCAAGTGGGGTGGGCATGTTTGTTTACCTTGTCAACTAGACTTGTGTGTGTGTGTGTGTGTGTGTGTATGTGTGTGTGTATGTGTGTGTGTGTGTGTGTGTGTGTATGTGTGTGTGTGTGTGCGTGTGTGTGTGTGTATGTGTGTGTGTATGTGTGTGTGTGCATGTGTGTATGTGTGTATGTGTGTGTGTATGTGTGTGTGTGTGTGTCTGCGTGTGCGTCTGTGTGTGTGTGCGTGCGGGCATACGTGCGGGTATGTATGCATTTCATGTCTGCATATTGTCAACTCATACCTCTGCCATCTGACAGACGTGCTGGATCCGCAGAGAATGAGTTGCAGTCGAAAATCTCGAGACTCGGTGAAAGGTAATGTTTGGCTGTTACAGTGTTGTTGTTATCGGTATGACGGCATGTATCCACTGATATCAATAGTATGCCATGTATACACTTGTCATTACTATACACCCCACACCAGGTAGTAGTGGTATTATCACCTGTGTTGTGTGTTTTCTGATAGTCTTATGGTCAAGTTATGGAAGCGTAAAGTATATTGTAGCATTACATAATGTTTCGTTTGTGCTATGCAGAACTGAGTCCTGCCAACACGACAATAATGCCCTGAAGCAAGACTTGGCTAACACGGTATGTCTCCTTACAGTATGTTTGTCTGTGCGTGCGGGCGTGTGTAACCATATCAGCACAATCAAACATTAGTCATCAGATCTACTTCCTTTCTCATAACTTCATATCAGTATCGATAACTGACACCGTATGGTCTTGCAGCAACTTTGTAACTTTTCATTTTTCTTTGTTTGGTGTTTGCTTCCTATTAACAGCGGTGTGAGTGTGAGCGTTATCGAAACCTTTACCAAGAGATGCAAAGCAAAGAGTCTAGCATATCTGAGGTGTGTGTCCTGGACTACTGCTGGTGATGTTGCAAGGAAATTGAATTTTTCATGTTACTGTCAACAAATTGCTGCTGCTCTTTCTCTCTCCCTCTCTCTATCTCGCTCACTCTCTCTCTCTCTCTCCCTCCCTCCCTCCCTCTCTCTCTCTCCTCTCTCTCTCAGATTGTGTGTTTGTGCTTTTGCTTTGCTAAGACTGACACATTGCATATAGCATGGATGGCAAGGACAACGTTTTGGTTTATCAGCACACTGTCATACTTGCCAACCATACCGGTTTTCCCGTAATTATACCGGAAACTACGGTCACTACCGGCATACCGGGGATTTTTGACTTTGATCGAAAAACTACCGGTATTGACAATGAACCATGAGTGGTAAAAAAGGTTTTTTGTGGTATGACAAGGGCACGTGCGGCCCTGCATTTCACAGAATCACGGCATGTTGGGGCGATCTGACAATAAAGAAACTCAAGTTTTGGTCCCCCAATGAGCAATGGGTTAGAAATGAATAAAAAAAATGAAAAAATTGCCAAAAACTTGCAGAAAAATACACAAAAATTGCCCAAAAAAAGAGAAAATGGCCGAAATTGGCGAAAACCAGGAAAATAAGAGAAAATCAAGGGAAACTGGGTGTGTGACTAAGGGATTGCTTTAGCTGGGTTGGCAAGTATGCACTGTACATCCTTATGTATGCACTGTACTTCCTGTAGGAACGGTCAGAGGCACAGCGAACTCGTCTTGAAGTGCTACAACTGCAATCGCGTCTATCAGCACGGTCAGTGTGGTGTTTTGTGATCTATTCCAACGTCAAAATCGTCATATGGATAAGTTTCTGCTGATACTGTTAGCATTGAGGGAAATTCAAATAGCGTTTGTAGCCATAACCTTTCTCCAACCCTTTGGCAGCATATCACTTATACATTATAATTATGCTCTTGACGCTGTGGAAGGATTTTTGTGAAAGGATTTTGTTATACTATTGGTTTCTGATGCTGATGGCAGAGCATGTCAACCAGTCGATATGTTACAGTTGGTTTGTATGTAATTGTCTTTCCGATCATCTGCATTTCCTGCTGTAGATTAGCTTGTGTCAGGCTATAAGAAAGTGCATGCAAGTACACACAGCGCCACAGCCCAACATGTGTTTATTGTCAAGTCTGTATCCATCGACCCACGTAATTCTCTGATCAACTGAGCATGACATGCTATAGCCACCACAAACAGTTGAAGTTGACGTTTTGTGGCCTTGCTTGTGTCCTATCTGTGCAGTGAGGAAGAGTCAAGTCGATGGACAGAACAAGTACGAACCACGGAAGAGCAGCTCAGAAAAACGATGGATAGTAGGGATTCTTGCCAGGCACAGCTCAAGGTGAGCATGATGAGTGTGTGTATCAGTAGGGAGGTTTAGTTCCCACGTAACGGAAACGCGTACGTGGGTGATCCACGTGAAGTGGATGAAGGGCACCCACGTTGCAATGTTGTGTTTAGTCACACGGAACAAACAAAAGCATGAAGTGAAAGGCCCAAACCTGGTCAAAGACGAAGCTACCCGGGCCTAAGAAGCTCATCCAATATTTTGATTTCGTGCTTCGGAAACTTCTTCAGCTGAGCACCCTCACAGCTCGCACAATGCACTCCATTCTGATTTTCACCCACGTTCTGGCGGAACGGGGGTGAGCCTCCATACACGGTATGTCGTGAATCAGAAAACGTCTGTACGTGGGTCACTGAGTATCACGTGGTACACACACGTAAAGTACCCACGGCTTACGTGAGACTAAACCTCCCTAGTATGTGTGTGTGGGGGGGGGGGGCACTGCTGATGGATGATGCAGCTGTTTGCTCTTCCCTTTTTTTCATATCATGACATGATACGTCCCTCACAATCATCAATTTCACTATGCATAGCACATAGTACTAGTGTTGTGTTGCTGGGCGCTCTTGCCTTGTCTACTTCTGTTAGGTGGCCAATGCCCAGCTGGATGAGTTGCGATTGCAAAATGCCTCTCTTCGCTCCTCCCTGCACACTCTGGGCACGAAACCAGCACCATCCTCGGGACTGGATCAACGGCCATCTCAATCGAAAGGTATGCCGACCTCTGCTTCAGGTGGTTCTGCTGCTGCTGCTACAGACCACCAGCGTATGGCGGCGGGTGATACTATATATTTAAACGTGACATCACCAACACGAGTATTATCGCATGGAAGCACAGGGGATAGGACAGGGTATGAGGTCAGCGTCACTGCTCCCGTCTCGTATTCTACTGATCTACCGCATCTCCAAAATGCTGTACCACCTGCAGCAGCGGCAGCAGTAGCAGTTTTAGCACCGGCAAGCCAACCTCAGGCTGCCTACAGTCTGTTGTCTAGACAGAATTTCCTCTCTACAGCAACAGCAGCATCAACTGGCCCGGTGCAGTCAATGCCACCAGCTAGAGTAGCAACAGAGCCACGCTTCACTACTGGTGAGGACAGCATCAGGACTATACCGGCGGACTCAGAACTGCTCTCCGCAACACCGTCCACTATAAGCAAGGTACGCTGAGTATAGTGATAGCACTACATGTGTTGTATTTGTTGTATTCCTCTCTTCACACCGGCTCCTTGTCTTACTTTGCTCTAACCAAACTGTCCTGCATCTTTCTTGCAAAGTTGTGTAGCTTGCAGCTTAGTGTTTGTGTGTTCTTTCTCTTCGTTTAGTGTTTCTGTAGCCTCCAGACTTCTGAGTGTTTCTGTGTGCAGCCTTCAGGGCTCTTACTATTCTGTCTGCGTTCTCTATTTGTTTAGTGTTTCTGTGCGCAGCCTTCAGACTTCTTAGTGTTCCTGTATGCTTTCTCTTTGTTTAGTTCTCTGACATGGGTTCGGTCAGTTCACTGACTACATCAGATTCAGAGCCAAGCACCAGTCGCCATGCCAATATTGAAACGCAAACCACTGCAGCGGCAATAGCGGAAAACCCGTATTTAACACCCGCCGACAGGCGCAGTGAGGAGTGCAGGAGCGGCCACGTGGAGGCAGCACGTATGCCTAGCCATGGACTAGCAAACGGTGGGCATGATGATGGTGATGTGACGTCATCGTTCACTGCCAGCACGGCACAGCTCTTAGACTACAGCTCCACATCAGGTGACTTATCCCGGCATACTGGCATTAGCACTGATACTGCAGTAGCATCGGGAGGAACATCTACACAAGCGCAGGCAACATCAGCTCAACCAGCTGGTCACTCCGGCCCTATACCGATGATGAGCGAAGAGTTTATGCACGATTTCCTCACCGATCACATGTCTGTCTTACAGACACGCATTGAAGAAACAATAGAGAAATTAGGATTAACAAAAGAAGCCACATAGCCACTGTACATGCCCTAGTGCAGCACAATTATTAGTTCACGCACACATGTCCAGCTAATATCTGTTGATCTTAGTATTGATTGCTAGTTCCCTTGACTGCAATATCTGACACAATGCGAACAGCATAGGAAGAAATGGCATTGCAAGTCTGTTACCAGTCCGTTACCAGAACTTTGTGAAGAAAGGTCTTCTTTCACAGTCTTTCACAATGCGTTCATCATCCATTGCCTTTTGTGCTAGTACCACCGTGCACTGTAGCCACTGGATTTGCTGCTGTCTTCCTCTTTCTGCGGACTGGTCATGTCTGTGACCGCTTCATTCCTGGCCTATCCTCTCTTACTTTGATAAGAAATATTTACTTTTTGCTGTTATCAGTTCCGACTGACCCGGGCTATCACACTGAACTAGACAACAACAATATAGACTTTTTTATTGGTAGTTTTGCTCCAAGCCATAATTATTATGTTTTTATTCAAGATTTTGCCAACACCCCTTAGGGCACATACAATGTACATGTCATCTTTACCAAACAATCTGTCATTGTCTTTCCCTTTCCTGCCACCTGCTCATAGAATACTGTGTTAAAATACCATAAGTATAGCGTCAATTTGTTGATATTGAGTGGACCAAAGTTACTTGAGCTGACTACAACGAAACTGAATCCTGTGCTTTGAAGTGTGTCACCATTGTCTCTTCCTTTTTTGGTGCATGAAAGGGTGGGGTTTGTGTGTGTGGGGGGGGGGGGGGGGCATGCACATTGCGTCTGCAGCAAAATCCTTGCGAGCGCAGGAAGGTGGAGGTACCTGACACAACTCAGCAGGTCTCCAGGAACGATCTAGCCAGGTAGAAAGTTGAACTCCTTCAAGAAACGGACTCGGATGGAGAGCCAAGGTTTAATTTATACAAAAGAGAAAGGACCAAGGTGATTGTTTAGTAACTGGTGGTGTTAGTGGACAGTAGTTAAACGTTAGCGTAACTTGTAGTTCCTTGGTTCTTTCCCTTCAAGAAACCTTGGGCTTTGATCATCACCAATATTATTTTTTCTTGCTCGGTGTGAGGGTAACAAGGATGCGGTTTATGGGGTTATAGGGCCTTTACATGCCCGCTTGGTGAGAGACTTATCCTCTCTCCCCTGACTCACTTGTGAGGTCTGCATTCGACACTAAGGATATTATGGGCGAAGTGGTGGCCCGCCGATGCGAATGTATGTGCTTGATGTGTTTCTCAACACGCCAGGTGATGCGGCCGCGAATCCGGCTAACTTTACTTTTTTATTAGATACCATGATGATGGACTTCTGCTGTGACCGGCGAGAGTTCCCCCGGGATAAAACACCAATGTAGTGATTAGTGTTATGTAGTGCAGATCGTGGAGTGCGCATCACTCGAGGAAGCGGAGGTCAGCATCAGTCTCATCCATGACATCCTCTGGATGCAACTTGACAGAGTAACACTGACTCTCAGTCTTAGCACTGTTCTCCACTGACTCCAGCCACGCCACCATGTCAGTTATCATCCGTGCAGCAATATCAGGATACTTGGCAGATAGATCATTTGCTTCTGCCAGGTCCTTGGTCAGGTCATAGAGGAAAGTCTCTGCCAATTTCCCCTTCTTGACTGTTCCAAAGATCTTGTACTGGATGCAAACACAGAAACATATGAAGAGGAAAGGTATTCATGACACAAAACGGGAAAATTTGTATAGCAATGATTCCAAATAGGAGGCGTGGAAATGTACGATTATTATTTCCACGCCTCCTTATGGTGATGAATAATATCAAGTGCGCACTCATATCACAAACATTGCAACCAAAGTAGTTTCATGTCCAGGACGTTTTCTTGATTGTGACAAGAAAATATTCTGGACATGAAACTACTTTGATTGCAATATTTGTGATATGAGTGAGCAATGATTCCATTTCACTCTTCTCCACAATCAATCACACTCTTACATGTCCATCACATACTGATGTCGTCACCTTGATTGATGATACTGTGACAATAGACTGCTGGAATAGGCAGCTAGAGTCCTAGTGCTAACCTACCTGATTATCAACCCAAGCCACATTGTACGTGCCGTTGAAACTGCCGCCGACATTGTATGCAAATCCTATGGGTGATGAGCGGTTTATGGAGATACCATCAATAATGTCCAGGGCTGAGCGACCATCCACAGGACGCTGGACAAAATTACAAATAATATAAGGACACCATCCTCGAGTCTCATTTACTATGCGACACGTTTACCTGAACTGCTGCTCGTCAGTGAATGCGTCCAGTTCTAACCTTGTCTGGCATGTGTTCTCCAACCAGGTCCAGGAAAGAAGGCATAAGATCACTAGACACAATAGGAGTTTCCACCACCCGGTGCTCATTGATTCTGTCCGGCCACTCCAGCAGCCCTGGGACCCGAATTCCACCTTCGGTCAGGTCACGCTTGCGTCCACGCAGTCCATTTGTCTGGCCTGGTGTTCCATTCTCTGGGCCATTGTCACTGCAATCAGAACAGGCAGCAGCAGCAGCACACGCAGGACGAACACAGTAAAGTCACATCCAGTCGACGCTGCTGTGGCCACTTCATTAGTGGCTGTCCTTGTAAGCCATCCAACAACAAAGGCATGTATCAAGGCGTTGCTGGTGTAATGGTTAGCATAGTTGCCTTCCAAGCAGTTGATCCGGGTTCGATTCCCGGGCGACGCACTTGTTTTTTTTTTACACAGACTGAAAGTATTTTTGTGTCGAGATAAGTAGCGGCAAGAGTACATAACCCCAAGAGTGTGCAACTCTGATCTCCGAGCTATGGGCGCCCTGCACGGCGCTGGCTTCATTGCGTAGTGTTAATGACGACTCAGCTGCCTGAATTCTAAGCCTCAACAATTTCACGCGCAATACAGTAAGTTCAAAGGCTGTGCTTGCGTGTGATGCATCACATACAAAACCATCCAAGTCTCCGAGGGAAAGCGGATTTGGAAGCAGGAAACCGTAGCAGATCCGCACTAATGAGCAATGGCCCACAGTTCGTGGCTACGTAATGCAGGCAACGCGCCGCGCCAGACGCCATTTGCAGAGTTCTATACCCTTGGGGTTATGTACTCTTTGTAAAGGACAATGCTTTCAGAATTTGTCACAAACAAAAGTTGTGTGAGTGCTGTATTTCCGCAGGAAAAATTGTGATGCAACCATGCTGTCTCACCTTGCAAACCAAAGCAATGTGTTGTTCTCGATAGCAAGTTCTCTGAGCAGTGCACGTATTCTGCCCACCTGAGGATACAAAACATGTGCACACATTCAATCATGACGCATTCAATGAGACAAGGGATTTACTCAAAACATGCTTACCGTATTATCTCTAATATAAGCACGGTCCTTTATTTTTTCAATGTACCTCCGCCCCGTGCTATTAATGGAGACGTTCCTTTATTGGAGACTGTTCCATTATTATTTCAACTTTATTTCAGAGGCATGTCGCCATGCCAAATTCATGTCAGACACACACATTTCAGGGTTTTTTTTCGCCGGTACAGACAATGAATTTACACAGTGTGCTTATAATGGAGACTGAGCACTTTATTTTTTGAATGCCGCCCCAAGGTGTTCTATTATTGGAGACGTGCCATTATTGGAGACTGTGCTTATATTAGAGATAATACGGTAATCACTAAAAGACACTGCATGCACAGTAATCCAGTCGAAAATAGTACCCGTAATAGATAGAATGATACTGTAGAAAGAACTGCACTCAGTTTAGTAGTTAGTCTTATACAGTAACACGTATCACTGAACAGCACGACAGACTGTGCAGTTGCAGTACAGCTGCTCTCCGGTACTGTCAGAGCTCCTGTCTCGGGCCTGCATTCACTGGGCTACACTGACCACCACTACAGTGCATTTCAAAACTATAGACGCGTAGGGTTTTTGAAATATTTCAAAAACCCTGGCTGGAACTTTTTGAGAATAGTTTTCGGAATATTGCTCAGGCCGCTCCACAATTACTCTCATATAGTTTCTAAAGGATCGGATAACAGACGCCCAATTTGGAAAAAATTATGCACAAAGTGATCACAGATTTTATGTGGTATAGATGCTGGCATAACGGTTTTTGCCTAGGTACGCGTCTATAGTTTTGAAATGGACTGTAGTCAATCTATCAATGCAGTATCATCTCAAAACATATAAACGGCACACGCGTCACTGCAAGAGAAGTACTGGTTCTAACCGCCTGCACATCACTTTCTCAGAGGTCCCATAGCATAGTGTTGTTAAGTGGTTCTACAGTGAGTGTGACAGTGACTCCAACCTGAGCATCCATCGCTGATATTGCTCCAAAGTAGTCAATTTCCGTGGTACTGAAGTTCCCCAGCTTGCGATACATTGTGATATATGGCTCCACAGCGATGTAACGGATGTGAACTGCACAGGCAACAGCAATGACCAGGCAGTGAACAGCAAGCAAAGCATCAGAGTACTGGAGCTGAACAGATCCGTGACATGTAGATCACTGCCCAGCTGGATAACAATATTATAACTAGAGTGTCCGGTGAAAAATAACTATCGTGTGACGTCCAAGAACTGCAGTGATTAATGTACTTTGCTACAGAACAAAACGCGGACAGGCGGTGACCAGCCTGGATCCCAATACGTTTTGTACTTGAAGTATATTTTCCTTCATGGGGTTCTATGAATGAGCCAGGGAGTTATGAGCCAGCCAGGGAGTAATGAGCCAGCCAGGGCACAATGCAGTCATTAGCCATTGTTTTCCTCTACATTGGCTGGTTTATTACCATACCCTGGCTCATAAATAAACAAAAACTAAAGCTGAACACGAGTAAGACTACACACACTCACCTGTGTGGAATGGTAAGTAGAGGAAGAAAGGACTTCCACTGGCGACTTGTCTGCGGATATAACTCTCAGCGACATTTCCGATATACTCACTGTCGTCACCAGGAATAAGTGTGCTGAGATTAGTCACTGGGGTAGCACCACCAAACATAACACCTGCATGGGCAATTCCGACAGCAATTCAAAAGAAGGATACGTTAGTCCTATGGTGACAGCGCCCCGAAAGTTAGAGCTTGCAGATAGACCGCTACTGCAAACCGTTCACTGGTGCGGTTGCAGGTCACCGGATGGAACAAAAAGAATATAGAAACAGGTTGGAAAGCGTTAGTACTGTCGCCGGTACATTTTACTGGTGCAGTATTATTCGTAGTACACTCACCAGCATCATTGAGGTGCAAGGCAGGTGTATTCTGACCCCGGTAGTTGTTACAAGCAACATTGTCTGGCCAATGACCATTCTAGTTTGTGGCACCACAGTGAAAAACAAGCAGCAAGAACACACAACAATACATTCAAAACATGTTCAGTTCTCAATTCATCATACCCCATGAAAGAAGACTGATCACCAGCTTGTCAGGGGAACCTTACCCTCCCCCCCCCCCCCCCCTTGTGCCACAGACTCGGAATATTCTAGTGATAATATGGACAAGAATACCATGGCAGGTACAGGAACAGTTAGCTGATCTTTCACAAATTAGGGGGGGGGGGGGTGATCTACTATACAATAGGTTAAATCTTCATGCCATAAGTGCCCGAACAGTTCCTAACCTGGCATTTGTCTGGCTTGAAACATCCACAGTTCGTAGTAGCAGTGGGAGTAGAGCGCTCTGTGGCCATCCACTCGTCAAAGCCATGCGTTCCAGGATGCGAGATCTGACGAAAAGTCGCAAACAATAAAATGTCAGCATACAAGCGTATCATTATCATTATCACTCAGGCTGAAATAGACATATTCATAAATGACATATCTTCAATACCCATGAGCTACACTGTATATATTATGATATAATTATCATAATTATTATTATCATCGTTCTAGCTCATTTTTTTCCCCTGTCATAGTCCTGTTTATCATGTTCAGCATAAGCGAAGTTGTGGATCATGCTGGCATGGTTGACTCCAATGCGTACATGCAAGTACAAGTAATAATAATAATAATAATATTAATAATACAAGCGTATATACTACGGAGTAGCCCGATCTCAGTTGTCTGATGATTGCCTATGGGCATGAAACTATTACTTGAAGTAGTTGCAACCGAATGATGCGTTGTGCTCTGTGACGTGTGTACTACGGAGTACTCGTATACAAATAATGCTGCATGACTGTACATGTTGCCTTGATGTTTGCTACTTGCTGTGGCAGCTAGCCGTATCTTTACACTCATATGTGCGGCATTCTTTCAGAAATATAGAGGAAAGTTTCCATGCAACAAAGTCTATTCCCAGTGAAAGTGCATTCATGTTCAGCTTACAGGCCATTTTGGATTGCTTTTGGGGAGCTGGAAGAAGTCACCGAGATGCCTAGAAGCAAGAACGCAAACCAAACACATGCAGGTTAAGTCAATAAAAAAAAGAGAATATCCAGCAACACTGGTATTGGAATGAGCCTGTCCACTTCTTCGACATTCGCAGGTACTTGAAGTATCAGTGAAGCATGGTTTCAGTGACACGCCAAGGAACTGGCCTTTCACAATCTTTGAGCGTAGGTTGCCTCAGACACCACGACGACCATGTATATTCTGTGGCATACACTTGTCGAAGAATAGTGGTCATATCTGCCAGGTGGTCTCCTGAACAGGCTTCCCTTGCACATTACCAGCACTTCAGTCATGACTACTTCAGTAGGCGTGCGTGAATACATCTCATACACATGAGAATAATAGCCTGGTAAAGCACCGGTTAATGGTGGACGTGATGCGAGATGAGGAGCTGGGCACCCACCACCCAAACTCAATAATATACTGTTGTGGACATTGAAATTCGTTGAGAAGTCAAATGGCCCGGGGCGCTGGCCTTGCAGCCGCGACCACTGCTGGTCCATTTTGCAGTGTGTGCAGGAACTACAATGCGTGTATGCGCTAAGGCATTAGGGGCGCCAACCCAGGTCATTCCACAGGATTTCAATGTCCACAACACTACCTCAAAGACAGGCCACAAGTTCGTATTCAACTGCAGGTTGCAATCAGGAGAGACTATTGTTTCGCTCCACCACTCCATACATTCTGCATATTTCACTTTCCGGGCAATTCGGTTGAGCTGAC